TTTCCTATGAAGTACGGAGTGATATTTATGGAAGAATTTATACATTTAGCCAGTTCATCTTGATTTGGATTTGAGGTCTTACTATTACTATTGTAGGGTGAAATTTTCCATTAACAAACTCTATTTTGCTATGTACAGTCACCCAATTAAAACATTAATACTCCGTAGTTTTTGTTGTACCCAAAATTTACACACATTTCACACACATTTGTCTGCGGACATGGACAATTACTGTACAAACTGACTGTGTACAGATGCAAATAATGGGTGTACATATTGTCTGTGTGAATAGACAATTACGTACAAATGTGTGCAAAATGTGTACAAATATGTATTACGTAATGTATAGACTTAAATATGGATCAAGTCAATATAAAAACAACAACTCTATAAACTCTATCAATATTGTTTTTCTCTATATTCCAGCACCGTCAATAAAATACACTCAACATATTTTGTACATATCAATTTAGTCAAACATTAATTAAATTCCAATACTCCATTCGTTCTTAAGTAATGATGTCCTTAGTTTGTTTTTGTGAGTTTTAAGAAGAAATAGTAGAGATAGTATAGAGGGTGTAAGGTAAATGAAAAGGTAGGAAATATATATATTAAGAAGAGTAAAGTAATGATAAAGTAGAAAAGAGAAAATAGTATGTGATAGATAGTCTGTACCGGGACATCACTAGTGGTATCTAGAGAGAAGGTAGAGCAATAAGTAAGAGAGAGAGAGAGAGACAAAGTGCAATAGTATTAAATGAACAGTAATATGTTACAACTACCCAAGAGACGGTATTTATACTAGTAATAAATGGTAGATGCATTAAATGCACATACACGTGTAAGCTAATCTATGACGGAGAGCCCCCCGTGATGTGGATGCTGACACGTGGCGTAGCATTAAATGCAGTGGTTGGGCGCTGAGGAACGTAGGACAGAGGGAGGCGTCTTTGCCGAGGTTGAGGCCTTCGACCTCAATGCAGAGGGCTGCTGACCAAGGGCTTGTTCGAGAAGATGAAGGTTTCAGACACGTTGATGGCCAGAATCAGGGCGATTCCATGAGTTTGGAACATTCGGCCTTGTTCTTGAAGGCACCCCCTTGTGGGGAATGGGTTGCTCCATCTTGGGTTGTTGTATTCGGGCCGCATGTGCTTGCTGGGCTTGTTCGCTATAGAGGGAGTATGTGGGCCGATGGGTTCTGGGCTATATACCCCATCAGTATGTAAAATGAGTAATAAAAGGGGTAATTCTATTCACAGCCTCCAATTTACTAATCATAGCCACAAAATCAATTCAAATATCCAAACTACCCTCCCCCTATTGTTATAGCTTTGCTCTCTCGCTGCAAATAAATTCTCTTGCCCCAAACCGTAAAACTGCCGTAAGTGGCCATAAAACTGCCGTAAGTGGGCACATCAATTAGTATATACGATCTGCTGAATTCTGCAAGTGATTCCGTTGAAGAAGCCGCCTTCTTTCAACTACGTAGTATTTATCTGTTCTTCCTCCGCCGCCTAGCAAGTTCATCCACCGACTAAGGACCGACGAGTGCGGCTCCCTATAAGACAGCTTGGTCCAGAAGTGTTTTTCCCTAAAAACATAGTCTTAATTTAAGAGATAAGATAGTTTAGATAGTGTTTTTCTACAAATAACATCATAAAAAAGAATAAGGAAAATCAATTTTAAAACTATTTTTAAAACTATTTATCTGGTTGCACATATTCTGACCGGGAGAATGCATTAATGGGTGTATCTCAAAACATTAGGATTTTTGAAAGCAAGATTTCAGTATTTCACTACTTTTTACATTGGTTCTAGTTGGTACGGGAATGGAGGGATGGAGCTGGAAGAGCGAGTGGATGGAGGGAGGGATGGTTCCAGTTCCAGTGATCGAATGGGGCTGCAAGACGAGTGGATCGATGGAGACTCTCACCTCTCGGTACGAATGGGGCTGATTTAAGCAAAAGGGTGAAATAGGTATTATATGAATTGGGGGCTATAAATAGTAAATTGGAGGCTGCAAATAGAATCACCCTAATAAAAGTGAGAGTATAAAAGTATTTTGATTGAAAAAACTTACTAAAAAGGAAAGAGAAACAAATAATTAGAAACATTCCAAAAAGAAATACTGGTATGAGACAATTATTAGAGAACGAAGGGAGCAAGTAATATTTTTCTGCATGACATCACCCGCCATTTTAGAAACATTAGACTATGAGGCCGTATGTTGATTCTAGTTTTCAGCTTATCAGTCAATGTTTCCACTAAACACGTAATTTTTGATTTCGAGTGCTGGATTGTAACAATAAGAAAAAGTAAGTAAAATTGAAATTACTTTTCTAGCTATATTGACAGATGTTACTGTAGATGATCATTTTACATTTTTTTCATATAATTTTTATTTGTTAAATTAATAAAATTTTCATTAATCCGTAGACTTAATCAATCTAGTCAGAACTTTATAAATTTCAAGAGAATCAGCCAATCCAGCCCATTTGGGTATTACTAAACGGGCCCCACATTATTCTTCCTCTTTTTTCTTTTGTTTTTTGACTGTCAAGTAAGCATGTGTATTTAGCCACCTCCACTCCATTTTACATTTTAGTCCCCTTAATATCCATTTTAAAAGGCTTGACTCCTAATAGGACTATAGGAGTAATAGGCTAATACTTTTAGACTACAAGGTAAATGACTCTATTTATATTTATAAAAATGCTTGGTGTACACAAAATGTGTACACATGTCTGTCCTTCATAGAAAATTTGTTTGTCACAGACAATTCAAAATGAGTTGTCTGTGACAGACAAATTTTTTGTGAATGACAGACATGTGTACACATTTTGTGTACACATTTAATGTACACATTTTGTGTACACATTTTGTGTACCTCTAGCAAAACTTTTAGATTTATCCTTTTTTGGTTGGTCAAAAAAAGAATTACCCTTTTTTGGGTGCATGCATGCAAATATGCAATATATCAACTACAGTGGGCTTTTGATTCGGTGGATTCCTCCGTCTCCTTGAAGGAGTCATATATATCCTTATAACTCTTGATGATTGCTTCGTGCATATTATACTCCAATTCTCCGTAGTTTCCCTAAACTTATTTTGTCAAGACAAGCTTACCATAAGGCGGTTCGAGAATCTAGGGTTAATTAGGGCACCAACGGAAGGTTGATTGAGGATTCAAAATGGATGATCAGATACTGAAGACACAGGACGAGAGGAAGAAAATGGAGCAGCAGCTTGCTTATCTGAATCTCACTGCCGTGACTTTTGATACTGATCTGTACAGTTTTGACAGGTTTGAGGGTTATGAGAAGTCGATTCCCGTCAATGATGATGAAGATGCTTTTGAGAACACGGAGAGTGAGATTGCTCGAAAGATGGCCTCGTTTACGGCCCCAAAACAGTTCTTAACCGAGGCTTCAAGGGGTGGCGGACAGGAGGATCTGAAATTAGGGTTTCGCGAATCGAGAAAGATCGTCGATCGGGAGGACGAATATCGTAGACGAGGGAGATTGAACCGAGTTTTGTCTCCGGATAGGTATGACCCGTTTTCAGATAAGACACCCGGCCCGGATGAGAGGACATATGCTGATGTTATGAGGGAGGAGGAATTGATGAGGGAAATTGCGAAGAAGAAGGAAGAAGAAGCAGCAAGGACAAATGCAGAGAAGCTATCGGCTCACAAAAGGAGGAATAGGTGGTACGAGTCTCAGGATAGGAACAGCGTGAAAGAGAAAAAGGAGGCCAAGCCTGATTCTGACTGGGACCTGCCCGACTCAACCCCAGCAATCGGAGGGTGGGATGAGGATGCAACGCCTAAGTATACTCCTGGGAGGGTTGGTGACCCTACTCCCAGTAGGGTGGCTGATTCAATGGCAACCCCTTTGGGTGGCGGAGCTACTCCAGGTGCTGCCCCTGCTGCAATGACATGGGACTCTACCCCAAAGAATTTGTGCTCTCCTACACCTGCACCGAAAAGGCAGAGGTCAAGGTGGGACGAGACTCCTGGAACCATGGGAAGTGCAACATCAATGGAAGGTGCTACCCCATCAGCGGCTTATACACCGGATGTAACCCCTTTTGGTGGAAGTGAACTTGATACCCCAAGTCCTGGTTCCCTTAACCTCCGTAGCTCTTACACTTTTGCTGTCCTGGTAACGGACATGAACCACAGAAGCCTTCCCTTAACAGATGAGGAGCTCGATATGATGCTTCCTCAAGAAGGATACAAGATATTGGAAGCCCCATATTCATATTGTCCTATCATAAACCCTGCTAGAAAACTTCTTCCAGAGGAAAACAGGGGCCGACAGTTTGACATGCCGAAAGCAATGCCTGGAGGGATTTACCACTTACTTTGAAACGTGATGATTACCAATACTTTGGCTCCTTAGCTTGTAGAATGAGGAAAATGAAGAGGAGTTGTCACCTGATGAGCAGAACGAACGGAAGATTATGAAACTCCTTCTGAAGGTCAAGAACGGCACACACCCTCAGAGGAAAACTGCTTTGAGACAGCTGACCGATAAAGTCATAAAACCACAGATTTAGGTGCAGGCCCGCTCTGCAACTCTTGAGATACTATGTATATACTTGGTTAATAATGCAAGTTTGATTAGTTGGTGACAGGTTGTCTTGTTTTCTTCCTAACTTTCTGGATGTAAAAAGGGGTATGACCCTTCTATCAATGTAAGAAAACCTTTTACAACAATAATAACATTACAGTTATACAATTATTCTTTTTCCTTTGTGTTTATCAATATCAACCGCATTCTTCCATTGTTCATGCTACCGACGTTGGAACATCAAGAGAGATAATTACTGGTGAAAGGAGTAAAATGTTAAACTAGTATCTTAACTTGTCTCTTCTAGCACTAAGAGTACTCCATCATGCAATAGATACAACAAAGTACATAAATTTGACATTTTTGTGTTAATTGAGTACATTTTTAACTCTGATGTTAAAAAAAGATGAGACAGCAAGGATGACTGTTTATTTTATATCTTTAACATCCCAGTCAGCAAAGATTCATTTCTATAACCCTAGTTGCCTTTGAGGACATTACAACATCTCCTCGTTCTTTCTTATTTTTCCTTTTCTCTTCTTCTTATCCTCTTCTTTTGCTACATAATTCTTTGAACTTTTAAGAGGCTTTTATTTTGAGAGGCAGCCTTTTATGTTGCTTGTTTGCTTGTCTTTTTGTTTTTTAAGAGCTTAGAAACGTCCCTTCTTTTGTCTGTTGAGGCTGTAAAAGGAGAGAAAGGGGCGACTATCTAGCGGATGTCGTTTTGGTTTGTATGCCACAAGATCTCTATGAACAAGGAGATCGGAGTGGTGAATCATCACTTCTGGGCATCGTAAGCAGCCTTCTACCATGTACCCGTTTCATTCTATTGTCTTGTACAGTTCCTGGATCAGCAAACAATGCAAATGAAGCAAAGTACGATAGAAAAAACTCAACCTTTTTCTTCTAGAGTAAACTCCCTCAAGAACTTCACTGTACTTACTACCCCTTCCAACTTTCCTCACTACCTCGTAATCACCCTGCTCCCCATTGAATTGCAAATGACTCGTAATCCCAGTACTCTTTAGAGAGTAACATTGGCTTCGTGTAAACCCAAGTGCCTCCGGCAAGTACACCTACTGCTGGAGGGGTTGCAACGAGTATAGCCGATGTGGGGGGTTTGTGCTACAGGTTTGCTGAGTTATATATGCCGGAAGAGATAAAGTGAAAGGCCTCAAGGCCATAAAAAGAGAAAATAATGGGCACACCCCCTTCTTTCTCCTATGTTCCACCTATTTCATTTGCTATTAACCACGTAGCAATAGGTTTAGCCATGTCATCATGTTTAATGTCTGTATAACGGAAATACTTAATTGACACTAACATATCAAGTTGATGTACTTTATCTCCTGGTGAAAGTCATTGATTGTTAGGACAGTGGTATTAATCAAAGCAAAACAGTGAGAAAACAACACAGATCTAGCTAGAAGAGATAGATGATAGTGTTTATTGAATGAAAAGGGGGATCAACGTAGGTAACAAGGCAATGTGACTGTTCGAGAAGCCCACTCTCCAAGGCAACACCCAAATGAAATACTACCTCCGTAACACTAGAATCTTCCCAAATGGAAAGTTGGTGAAATTATGAATAGTGATATGGGATATAAATTGTTGAGGGTATGATGGGAAGATAATAAAATAGTGTGGTGGAATGAAGGATAAATCCAAAAAAGTAGGTGGAATAGTGTATTATTTTTAAAATTATTGAGGGTATGATGGGAAGGTTTAGAAATGAGAAGATTATTTAGTTACGGATAAAAAAGGAAAGTGAGAAGATCTTTCCGTTACGGAGGTAGTAACAGCCTACCTTATTTAGTTATTCTCCCTTCTATTTACAGCTATTATCCATGCAGGGATTAGTAAAGCTACTGACCACCTAGTTACTTATTAATATAGACTCCTTATTTCTCCTCTTGTAATCTTTACAAAATTACTGGAGAGGCCCCAGATTCCTATCATTGATAGAGTGCTTTACAAGCTGGATGAGTTGGTTCGTCCATATGTTCACAAGATTCTTGTGGTTATTGAGCCTCTACTGATTGATGAGGACTACTATGCTCGTGTTGAAGGAATTGGGATTATGTGTAACCTTAGCAAGGCTGCTGTTTTGGAAATTATGATTGCTGCCATGCGACCTGATATTGACAACATGGATGAATATGTGAGGAACACCATAGCCGGAGGATTTAGTGTTGTTGCCTCTGCACTTGCTATTTGCTCCCTTCTTCCATTCCTGAAAGCAGTTTGTCAGAGAGAAATCTCAGCAGGCTCGTCACTCAGGTATCAAGATTGTCCAACAGATAGCAATTCGAATTGGCTGTGCTGTTCTTCCACACTTGAGATCTTTAGTGGAAATCATAGAGCATGGATTGAATGATGAGATTATTAGAACCAAAAGCTTTGATTCGGTACTGAAGCCCTTATGGAAGGGTATCAGATCACACTGTGGAAAGGTTTTGGCTGCAGCCTGCATTCTTAAAGGCAATTGGTTACATCATTCCTCTTATGGACGACATTTATGCCAGCTACTAGCCTACTATACAAAAGAAGTGATGGTCATTCTGATCCGTGAAATCCAATCACCCGATGAAGAGATGAAGAAGATAGTGTTGAAAGTGGTGAAACAATGTCTCAGTACGGAAGGTGTGGAGCCTGAATATATCAGGACTGATATTCTTCAGGAGTTCTTCCATAAATTTTGGTTCAGGAGAATGACATTGGATCACTGAAACTACAGGCAGCTTGTGGAAACTACAGTAGAAATTGCAAACGATTGAGAAGAATGGTAATGGAAACAATTGAGAAGGTTGTTGAGAATCTTGGCGCATTTGACATAGCTTCTTGTTTAGAAGCATTTCTGATCGATGGAATCCTTTATGCCTTCCAAGAACAGACCAGTGACGATGCAAATGTGATGCTTAATTAATGGATTTAATGCTGTGGTAAATTCCATTGGACAGAAAGTGAAACCATACCTTCCCCAGATCTGTGGTACTATATATATTATAAAGTGGTGTCTTAACAACAAGAGTGCTAAGGTGAGACAACAAGCTGCAGATCTGATGTCAAGAATTGCAGTGGACATGAAACAGGTTGGTGAGGAACAGTTAATGGGCCATCTCGGTGTCGTCTTGTATGAGTACTTGGGAGAAGAATATCCTGAGGTTCTTGGATCCATAATTGGTATGACTAAGATGACACCTCCAATCAAAGATCTGCTTCCCCGATTAACCCCTATTTTGAAAAACCTTCACAAGAAAGTGCAAGAGAACAGCATTGATCTGGTTTGACGTATTGCAGACCGTGGGGCCGAGTTTGTACCAGCAAGAGAATGGATGAGGATCTGTCTCGAGCTTCTCGAGATGCTCAAGGCACACAACAAGGGTATCAGGCGGGCAACGGTCAACCCATTTGGTTATATTGCAAAGGCAATCAGTCCCCAGGACGTTCTTGCTACCCTGCTGAACAACCTCAAGGTGCAGGAACATCAAAACCGTGTCTGCACAACTGTAGCGATTGCAATCGTGGCTGAAACCTGTTCTCCCTTTACAGTCCTACCTGCACTGATGAATGAATACTGGTTCCCGGAGCTTAACGTCCAGAACGGCATCCTTAGATCTCTTTCCTTTCTCTTTGAGTACATCAGTGAGATGGGGAAAGACTACATATACGCCGTGACTCCTTTGCTTGAGGATGCTTTGATGGACAGGGATTTGGTGCACAGGCAAACAACGGCTTCTGCAGTGAAGCACATGCCTTTAGGGGTGGCTGGACTCGGATGTGAAGATGCATTGGTCCACAGCCTAAACTACATATGACCCAACATTTTTGAAACATCCCCTCATGTGATTAATGCGGCCATGGAGGCCATCGAAGGCATGCGTGTGGCGCTTGGTGCTGCTGTGATCCTCAATTACTGTCTCCAGGGATTGTTCCATCCTACAAGGAAGGTCTGGGATGTCTACTGGAAGGTTTATAATTCGTTGCACATTGGAGCCCAGGATGCACTCGTGGCAGCCTTCCCTATTCTGAAGGATGAGGGTAACAAGACATACATCAGGCCTGAGTTGACTATATTAGTCTGATTTTTCCCTCCCACTCCAGCCTCCAGGTTTGTTTTGCTTCGTCTCATGATCAATGAATCTATTGGTTCGATGTCAAATGTAATCTGCATACTGTAGGCAGTGTCTCTATGTTCTGATATTGCTGAATAATTTTGTCCTGAATTACTTTTAAAATAAGTTTATGGTCTTCAAATGTTTGTTAATCCATACAGTGTACCTCACTTACCTCTGAGCTGTATTTGTTGGTGTTGTAGTTTCCCGGGTTTCCAGTAAGGGTTTTTTGGCAACCCCTATACGGGGGCGCAGCTCTTTCGTGGGGACGACGTTACCTCTGGCATTTTACGGATAGAGAGTTCTACGTTCTCTCAACATGGGAGAGAACTTTTGCATTAGACAATTCCTTTAGCCACACTGCCTAGCTTAGGCTAGCTATGCATAAATGCATAATGTTTCATTATATTTGAAAGTAGTAATTGTGCACATCAGTAAAGGAAGGAAGGGAAATTGGTGAACCCAGAATTAGTAACAGCTCCTCATCTCCGGATTTGGAATTCACAGACCTGCTTGTATAACGGTTACGGAAAGTCAAAAGTATTCAGCTATCAAGCTGATATAAAATGTCCTTGCATAGTTGCATGCAACGTGAAAATAAAATAACACCATTCCGGAGCAGCGGAGCTCATAGTGACTGATGTCAGTCTCAAGCTGTGACTTATTCAAGTGGCCTTCCAGGAAATTTTAGTGCAACACACTTGTTATTAGATTGGGAGCCCGTTTGGCAACCCTATTTTTTGGCTTATCAGGCTTATCAGCCAACTTGTTCACCAAACACGTAAATTTTCTTTCGCGCGCTGAATTGTGTAATAAGCAGAAAAAGTAAGATGAGAGTTACTTTTGTGCCTGTATTGGCTGAAATTACTGTAGATGACCATTTAAGCTATTTTTACATATAACTTTTCCTTTATTTTATTAATAAAATATATTTTAAAAATAATTTTTCTTATATCAGCAGAATCAGCTAATACAGTCACTTAAACTAGAACTTCATAAATTTGAACAGAATCAGCCAAAACAGCTGATTTTCATGCTACCAACCGACCTCTGGAATATGGTTTTTTTAGGATACCAAAATTTTAGTTGTGATACTATACAAACTAGGGGTGCCAATCAAACAAACTGACTTGCAAGTTGCAAGTTACTCAAAATCCTCGAAACCAATTCGGTTTCTACTTGACTCATACTCGAACTCAAATAAAATCGAATCAAGCTCAAGTTATGACAATATGACTCCAAAAGGCCACAAGTTATTCGATTATGAGTTGGTATTCATTTTTTAAGTTCTTACATATAACATCACGTCATATATCCACAAATGGACCACAATATGGATTCACGCATAATTGCATAAACATCATATGGGGTATTTATTTTCTATTAAAAATATATTAGAGATTTACGTGATGTCTGATGTTTTTGTCAACATTCTAAGAGTGTTATGCGACTTTAGACATTTTTAGGCACGGGGATGGTGAAATCATAATCTCAATATATCAAGATACGGGTACGACAAGGAAACGTCAAACTAAAAATTAAAGTATTACTAATCAGAACAAATAACCATTATATGAGGTCATGTTAATGTCCAAAGATACAAAATAAATAAACCAAACATATGTCCTTATTATAATCCTTTCTACCAAGAGTAGGCATATGAGTTTGGTTTAACCGAATTAAACTGTATCAAATCGAACTAAATCAAACCGAAACCGAAATCAAGAAAAACTGAACTAAAAATTGTCAATAAAACTTTCATATATTATTAAACGAACCGAACTAAATTGAACTGAATTAAATCGAAAAGTAGTACTCGGTATGATTTTAGTTTGGTAATCATTTTTCAAACCTGTTCCAAATTGAATCAACCGAAAACCGATAATACTAAACCAAAAACCCATATACTCTACCCTACTTTCTACATGCATACATAACACGTAGTAATATAGAAGTAATAATAAATAAAATCAATTCCGTGCTCTACGATTTCAATTCTGGCTCATCTAAAATTAAAGGATAAAGTTGCAAATTCTAAAGCCCGTTTGGTAACACTAAAATCGGCTAATTTGACTGATTCTATTGAAATTCATGAAGTTCTGGCTGAAGTGGCTGCATAGGCGGATTCGGCTGATTTAAGAAAAAATCATTTTTAAAATATATTTTATTAATAAAATAAAAAAAAAACATTATATTTAAAAATAGCTAAAGTAACCATACATAGTAACTTTAGTCAATACACCAAAAAAGTAATTTCCTTAAAAAACAATGTTACCCGGGCCTCCTAATGTTTTGACCTTCAAACAAACCTATTTTCTTCCGATTTAGCCCATTCCTTCAAACAAACTTATTTCTTCTGTACCTATTTCCCTGCGATTCAATGTGTCGATTAAGGTTCTGTTTGCAAGTGAATGTTTTAAATAAAAGCACTTTTTGGGAAAAAGTGATTAGTAGTAAAAGTTGGTAGTGTTTGGTAAAATAAGTGTTTTTTGTGTAAAAGAAAAAGTAAAAAGTAGATTCTACACGAAAACCGAGAAAGTAAAAGTTGGTATTGTTTGGTAAAATAAGTGCTTTTTTCTTAAAAAAAAAACAAAAGCACTTAGATTAATTGTTTGGAGAGACTAAGCTGATACCAAAAGCTCTGGAGAAACAAAAGTTCTCTATAGCCGATACCAGGCTGTGCGTCTGTCGTCTTCGTGCGTCTGGACGTAGTCTGACACTCCGACTCGGACTTGCTTCTTGCCGTCGACCTTCACTACGGAGTGTGGACTGCTGATCCGCAAGTCCCAAGTATAGTTTCAGGGGACTGTCTTCTTGCCGTTTGTCGATTCACAAGTATAGTTTAAGAGAAGGAGCTGCACCCGACTAAAGGTATGTTTTTTGAAATGAGAAACGCCTAGATTCAATTAAAACCCGTTTAAGAAACGTTTCCCGACGTTTCCCGTTTCTGAAACGGAAACCCAGAGTAGAATGATGTTTCCGTTCTTCCTAGGTACACTACACATGTGCTGAGAAAAAATGGTATTGAACCTTGTATATTAAATTCAATGTAAATAACTCAATTACCCAAAGTAAATAAATATGGAGTAACTAAATCAGAAAGAAGGGTCTTTTAGGCTTGTTCATCACTAATTGTTAAGAAATATGTTGATCTTTGTCTCCATTTGTTGATCTTTGTCTGAAATTGGATAAAACTTCTGCATTAATGTGAAATATTTGCCTTATGAAATTGTTGATGTTTTAATAACTTTATTGAAAACAGATTTATTTTATTATGTTTTTTTATGAGCAGATAGCCAGATATAAATCTTTATTCATGTTAATTTAATTTAGCTTAAGAGTATCCAAGTTCAAAATGGGCAGTTCTCGAAATTCTTGCCTTTAAGATTTGGGTGATCTCAGCATTATGGATTTCACAAGTTAAATGCTCTGAATATTTTAGAGTGAGCATAAAACATTTCTAAACTTACATTTGTGAAATTGCAAATCTACTTACATGCTATGTAGATCACCTGTAGTATAAAATTCATGATATTGATTTCACATACTGAAGTTTGAGGTAATGAGCTCAAGTATCCCATAATTTGGGATGATTTAATCAATTTTCCCCTAACGAAGTGATACGCAGTACTATATAGTGATATATTTTACATAATATCCTTTTTAACTATTGTGTACAACTTATGCACAATATTAGTATATCATTACTCTCAAGAAACATCAGTATGTAATTGCTGTATAATGTGATTATAATGTTTTCTTTGCATAGTATATGATTTGTTGTTGGCTATGTAGCACCGAAACTCTCGGGAAAGAGTACGTTTCCCGTTTCGGAAACTCTCGGAAACTTTTTGAAAACTCTCCAAATAAGCGTTTTTTGAACAAAAGTTGACGTTTCCCGTTTCCCGTTTCCTCATGATTTCCGCGTTTCCGTGCAACACAGGTTGTTGGGAATTCCATTAGTTCTTTTATTTGTACCAATAATTAAAAATATAAGACATTATTTTCAACTGTGCATCGCTTAATTTTAAGAACCATCGTAACTTACATGATTACATCCCTTTTTACAGGCCTATGAGAGCTCCTAGAATTATTGAGGTGTGGAAACTGGGCACTTTCAATTACCTCGAGGCACTTAAGCTGCAAGAAAAGCTAGCATCTGATAGAAAATCCCTTAAAATAAATGATACCCTTTTGTCCTTGCAACATCCTCCCACATATACCCTCGGCAAAAGGAGAACTGACCATAACCTATTAATTCCTCAGTCGAAACTCGAAGCCATAGGAGCAAAACTTCACTATACTCAAAGAGGAGGTGACATTACTTTTCATGGCCCTCGCCAAGCCATACTGTATCCCATTATTTCTTTGAGAGAGTTTGGTCTTGGAGCTAGAAAGTATGTGGAGAAGCTTGAGTTAACTATGGTTGAGTTAGCGTTGAAATACGGCGTGAAAGCAGAGGGTGGAAAGAGAGTAGGAGAAACTGGGGTTTGGGTTGGGGATAGAAAGATAGGGGCAATTGGAGTACAAATTTCATCTGGGATTACCTCACATGGACTGGCGTTCAATGTCGATCCCGATTTAAACTACTTCAAGAATATTGTGCCTTGTGGGATTGTGGATAAGGAGGTCACGAGTTTGAAAAGAGAGGCAAAGGTAGAGCTTCCTGGTGAAGATGTGATTGAGGAAGAGCTCATTTCTTGCTTTACTAGATTGTTTGGTTACAACCATGTTGTTTGGAGAGATGTTTCATCCTTACCCCCATTTGATGCTTAAGAGTTCTGTCTCACAACACTCAAAATGTATGTTGCACTGTTGCAGTAAAGTAACTACAGGAGGAGCTACTAATAAGCTCCTAAAAGTCTATCACATATTCACATAGCTCCTACAATTCTGGCTATCACTTATCAGTAGAACTAGCAATTATATAGTTAATGCCTTGGACAGAGTGAAACCATACCCTCCCCAGATCTGTGGTACGATAAAGTGACATCTTAACAAGAGTGCTAAGGTGAGACAACAAGCTGCAGATCTGATATCCAGAATTGCAGTGGTCATGAAACAGTGCTATGGTGAGGAACAGTTAATGGGCCATCTGGGTGTCGTCTTGTATGAGTACTTGGTATGACTAAGATGACAACTGCAATCGAAGATCCACTGCCTGGATTAACCCCTATTTTGAAAAATCGTCACGAGAAAGTTCAAGGGAACTGTATCAATCTGATCGGACAGAAAGTTCAAGGAGTTTTTTTTAGTTTCTTGAGATGCTCAAAGCACATAAGGAGGGCATCAGGCGAGCCTGTGTGGCAATTGTGGCTGAAATCCGCTCTCCCTTCTCGTGCTTGTTTAGGTGATACTGTTTTTATACCACTTTTGGTGGGCAGTTTCTCTTATGCATTGATGCCTCAAATTGAGGACCATTTTCATTTCACTTTTGTAATGATTTGCCATTTGGTTTCTCTTATGTGTTTCCTCCATTTGCTTGAGAGTATTTTATGACTCTTCCCATGTGCCTCGTCATCTATGTAATTTATTTTCGTACAATGAATTTAAGACAACAAAGCAACAAATTCAAAGCATGCCATACAAGTGATACAACCAATGAAAAGTATAAACCTCAGGGCATAGCAAGCGGAAAAAGTTATCGAACTTGTTGAGTTTTAATAAATAAAAGATGCCAAAATCTATTTTTTTAGGAGAAAATTGTCCAACATAGGACTAAAACTCAACCTTTTTCTCAAAATAGGACCACATGCATGTTTTTCTCTAAATAGGACTAACCTTACCTTTTTTACCCCTAATTCTATTTAATTAATTAATTGATCTAAATAATTGCCCCCCCCTAGTTTCCTTGCACAACCAAGGCAGTCCGTCGGTGGCGGGCAGTCCGTGGTGGCGGCAGCACTCCGGCAGCGACCGGCGGTGGATTCCGGCGGCGGCAATTCCGGCAATTAATTAACCCAATTAATTGCCCCTCTAGTTCTCTTGCACAACCAAGGCAGTCCGTTGATAGCGGGGCAGTCCGGAGGTGGCGGCAGCGGAAGAGGCGGTTTCCGGCGGCGGCAGCGGTTTCCGGCGGCAGGTGGCGGCAGAATGTTGGCAAACCTCCAGAAAAAAAATCTGGAATTTTTCCGGCGGCGTTCGCCGGAGCTCCGGCGGCGGCGGTGGCGGCGGCCGGTGGCAGGCGGCGGCCGGCGGCGGTCCCTGGGCAGCAGTGGTAAAGGTTGTGAGGGGTATTTTGGTCCAATAACTAATAAAAAGTCCTATTTAAGGATGTTTAAACTAGGTATTCCTATTTTGAGAAAAAAGCCTTGTTTTGATCCTATTAGGGTAAATCTCCCTTTTTTAGAATCAATGGGTCTTTTATAACAGTTTCCTACGTTAAAAAGTTGTTTAAAATCCTTTTTGAGATTGTAACTAAGTTACTGAGTTACTTACAAACAAAAGTGTAACTGAATTACTATAGCCATTATTATAGTTTTAATTATATATATTTTATTTCATTATCTTTATTTGCATTATTTTAAGGTATCTCTTTTTTCTTTTACTCAAAATCCAAAATCCATATCAAAATTTTACCTAACCTGGCCTAGTCTAGGGTTGGAAACAAATCGAATAATTTTGATTCGATTTGTGATTGGAAACAAATCAAATAATTTTGATTCGAATTCAAAATGTTGATTCGAATTCGATTAAATACAAATATAAATACAAATATGTTTTTTTATAAAATACTATTCAAATATGAACGTGAATACTATGTATGCACACTATCACTTTATTGCACCATTATCAAAATAGTAAAATTAGCGGGCGGAAACTTTCCTAGCATAAAAACATGTTTAATTCAAATATATTCGAATTATATAGGAATACATACACACACACACACATATATATATATATTATAATTATATATTCATACACTATACACTACTCATTATAAATAAATATAACTCAATATAAAAATATTAATAATGTAATATTTATTTACAAAAACAAGTAGGCATTTTGCATATTTTAATTTAAATATGCTTACTTTAGAGTTATAATTGTCCATTGATTTATTTATATTGATTTAAATTTGATGTATTTTGTTTGGTATGAAATATATTCTACTGAGTATAAAAATGAGTTCAATCATTCTTGTTGCATGTACACCCTAATATCCACCATGTTTGTGAATTTCTTTTTTATTTGTGAATCCGATTCACAGACAACATATCTTACTTTGTCTGTGAAACATTTGCAGACATATTTTTTCTGTGAACGAGATTGATAGACAAAATTAAGCTTTGGGTGTGTATAAAAGTTGGTCTATATGGTTCGGTACAAGTAGCTTTTTTTGAAATGAGTTCAGGGGCAAACTATAAAAATGCTGTTAAACTTAATCCCAGGCTCTTTCAAAGAACAAAAAAACTTAATCCTAAGCAGCCAACTAAGAAGACATACGGGCATACATCATACTCTCAACTCTGTTGACTCAATTTTCGATTCAGGAGTTCCGAGTTCAGGACTCAGGTCGCCAGCCCAAGGCACCAATTCAGAACGACGCCGACCCAGGTCACGCAGAGCACCAGCCGCCAGCCCAGGACGCCACCCTCTTGGCCTCTTTCAATTCCAATTATCACTGCAATTTTAATTTTTAAGGTTTTATTTTTAACTCTAATTTCTTAAATAATTTACTAATTTGTTATTTGTATATGGTATTATGGTTCGTGGTTTGTGCTATTGAGTAATGAGTGTTGACTATTGTGTTGCTAAATGCTTTGAATATGTAATGTGTAAGTGTGTAAGAGTAAGATTGTAAGTTTATACTGTGCTTACCAATTTTTGTTTTATCCGATCAGGTTTTTACTTTTTAGGTTGTAGTTGTAGACTTTTGTGATGCACTTTAACTTGGTTTGAGTACTAAATTTATACTTGAGATTTTTGTATATGCCAGGTTCTGCTCTGCTCCTGTGAGTATCTCGAACTAAGTTATATTTGTAGTGTAAGATTTTTTTAGTACTATAAAAATCTCGCCATGGCTTGAAAAAAGTTCAGGAACTCCATTGCAGCTCGCATCCGGCCGTGTTCGGGGCCTTTATCTGCCAAACTTTGTGCCCTCCACTTGATTCCGTGCTTGTAGGTTGCGAATTCTTTTGATGATGGACCTATAATAAAAACAACATTTATCTCACTATATTCTTCTTCTTGCAGGAGGAACATACCAGATTATGGCTAAGCAATCGCAATCGTTTTTTCTCGAAGAATGGCTTCGAACCACCATTTCTGGGAGCAGCAACAGTGTGAGCTTAAAACAGCCTTCTTCGACATCTGCCCAAGACATAATTCAAGCTTGGTCAGATTTGCGGGACTCAGTTCAACAACAGTCCTTCCATTCTCGTAACCTCCAATCTTTACATTCCCTTTTAACCTCCCAAAGTTCACTGTATATTGCTGACCCACAAGCAAAGCTTCTACTGTCTCTTTTTTCCTCGCCCAAAATCTCACTCCCACAAGAATCATATCCTCCATTGCTCAGGCTGCTGTATATTTGGACTAGGAAATCATCCAGGCCGTCTTCTCATGTTGTAGATTATGCTGTGGAGGTTATCTTGCACCTTTTCTCTGTACGGTTTCATTCTGATAACATCTCCGCTTTCTACACTGAAGGTGTTCTTATACTAGGTGCCCTTTCTTTTGTAAGTTCAGCCTCTGAGAAATCTAGGAAGGCCTGCCATGAAACGCTATGTGCTCTACTTGAACAAGAACATAAGTTTATCCACATGTCTGAAGGATTGATTCCCAATGTTCTTGCTGGAATTGGCTATGCTCTATCTTCTTCACCGAATTTTTATTTTCTTAGAATCCTAGGTATTCTATTTGGAGTTTGGGGTAGAACTGACGGTGCTTTGGCTAGCATTGATAATGGACTTCTAGTACTACATTTAACTGAGTGGGTCGTATCAAATTTGATCAACTCACGTTCTTCAGATAGTATTAACCTTTTCAGGAGAGAGATTTTGGAAAACCCACCTCCGGCATATGCATCATTTGCTGTTCTAATGGCAGCAGCTGGAGTTGTAAGGGTTATTAATAGAACCAATGCACATTTGGTATTAGAGCTGAGAGTTCCTGCAGAGGAGCGGCTTGAGGCAATTGCAGGAAACTTGATGATATCAATGACTCAAGATGATGCTAACTGCTTTTCAAGTGTAGAACCTAGAAACACCTTTCTTCTGCAATGCTTGTCATTAGCTTTATCCAGATGTGGTTCTGTTTCTCATAGAGCTTCACTACTTTTCTGCCTTGAGAAAGCGCTACTGACTGAAGTTTTCCCATTACAATGCTTATACACTCGGGTCCTAGAGTCACATGCTGGGAATTTGATGGAGATTGAGCTAAATGTTCAACAGCATCTGGATAGCACCATATTTAAAGAAGCAGGAACCATTGCTGCTGTGTTTTGCAATTACTATTTGTCATCTGATAAACTAAACCAAAGTACTGTAGAGAGTCATATGTGGGATTACTGCCAGTATGTCTACTCATGCCATCGGCGGGTGGCTCTAATGCTACCAAGTGGGAAGGAAGGGTTGCGGGTGAGTCTAGATAAAATTGCTGAGTCAGCTTTCCTCATGGTTGTGGTATTTGCATTGACAGTAACAAAGCACAGGCTAGGATCGGGCATTGCTTATGAAGAACATTTGAAGCTTTCAGTACAGATACTAGTTTCATTTTCTTGTATGGAATTTTTTAGACGGATGCGTTTGGTTGAATACATGGATGCAATTAGAGCAGTTATTACTAGTGTTCAGGAGAATGAAGCAGCTTGTGTTTCGTTTGTGAAATCGATGCCACCTTATGCTGATCTGACAAGCAAACCAGGTCTAACCACTTTTCCACAAAAATTTGTGTGACCGGTTACCATGAGACGGTAAAACTTTATAATTAAAAACTTCAAGTACTTGATAATTTTAAAAGATGGTATAAATTATGCACATTATGTAATTAAAGCATCATATGTTTTTACATGTGTCATAAAAAAGATATTGTCTCAGGGCATCTCACTGTAAGATGATCTCACACAAGACCTACTGTTTTATTTTATAATTGTGTAAATATGTTGCCATTTACAATAGCAAACATTTGTAGTGTCATCCATTTCTCAAGAAATCAATTATGCATGGTCCACTGATGAAGTGCAAACTGCTCGAATTTTGTTTTATTTGCGGGTAATTCAGACTGGCATTGAATGCATGCCAGCATCTGTGTTTAAGACGGTGGTGGTCCCAACAATGTTCTTGTATCCTACAGTAATTGATAACAACAGTGAGATACTTATAAATAAAAGAAATTGGTGTTTCCTTGATTCAATGTTTAACCAGATACATGGGACATCCATCTCGAAAAGTGGCTAGAGCAGCACACTCAGTATTTGTGGCTTTCATTTCATCTGGAAAGGATCATAACCCAGATGAAGGAGTTTCACTGAAGGAGCAACTTGTCTTTTATTACATGACAAGATCTTTGGAGGTATATTCATACCTTTGCTACTTCTAGTAATTAGTGCTTTACTGCATCAGTTTTTGGATTTACAATGTTGTTTTATGGATTGACTGAGTCGAGTATGTAGGCATATCCAGGAATTACACCCTTTGAGGGAGTGGCTTCTGGGGTTACTGCAATTGTTAGACATCTACCTGCCGGAAGCTCCTCAATTTTGTATTGCATTCACAGTGTTGTTGAAAAAGCAAATAGCATCTGCTGTGCTCTAAAGAATTGGGATGGAGAATTATTAGAGCCTTTGAAGAAAATTTTTGAACTACTTTTGCGACTCCTTTATCTTGTAGATATACAGGTACAATGGTAGAAGCTAAACTTTTGCTTGCCTTTTCTACATTTCTTTTATCTAGTCGCCCACATTGCAGGTCAAAATTTTCTCTATAACTCTGCTGTAGAACCTTTCACCCTGTTAGTGAATTGTTTACATGCTCTAAAACAGGAACATTTTTTTCTGTTAGAAATCTCAAAGAGTAGGATAGAAAATTCCTTCTTCTGCAGCATAAACTGGTAATTAGTTTATTTCATACTACTGATGAAGTTATTAAATGTTTCAGGTTCTGCCTACTTTGATGAAGTTACTGGCTCATCTGATTGTTCAGCTGCCTACTGATGGCCAGAATATGGTACTTGATGATCTATATCAGCAGGTTGCAGACTTGGATGATGTTACAAGGAAACCAGCAATGGTTTCTTGGGTGCAGTCACTATCTTACCTCTGTTCTCAAGATTCTAGCAGGAGAGGATCAAATGAGGCAGCAGAACTACACACTGCTTCTTTTGGAAATGTAGACTCATTTAGCCTGAACAAAATAAATGCACGATTGTGATGGGTTTATGATGTGCAAGAAATGTAGACTCAAAGAAGAAATAGGTGTTTATTTATAAAACAAAAGTTTTATTTGTAGTTGAGTTTTACATACGAGTGTAAGCCATAAAATCTTTGTGGTTTTACTATTTACATAGAGCTGTATTAAAGAAGACCCTTGTGGTTATGTGGTTATTAATCTTATTCAAAAGGAATTTATATAAATATTACGTAGTACTACACTATATATTCGTGTGCTGCCGCCTGCCCGAATGTTTAATAGCCTATTTCAACATATCCAATCAAATCTTGTGTTACATAATAGACTTCAAATAAGTCTGAATGTTGGACCCAGTCCACAGTCCCAACCCTGTTCTCGGGACTGGCCGACTGGGCGTAACTGGGTTTTCATGTTCAATCTTGGGACTGGCATCAGTCCCAGTTAGACTATTTGGGGAATGGAACCGGTTAGTCTATTCCTGATTCAGTTTTTCATTTTTATTTTTTCATTTCAAGGCTTAGGAGGATTTTGAAGGAGGTATAAATGAATCCATTTAAAAGCTAAAAAAGGTATTAGCAGAGCTATTGATTACATGGACCTGATTAGTCACTTTGAGAATAAACTCTCCCCTTGGAGACGAAAAAACTCTCTATCGCTGGTAGACTTGTACTCATGAGGCATGTGCTATCCTCCCTACCTCTGCATTTTATGGCCTCAGATACTCTCCCCAAATCAATCATTTCCATTATTGAAAAGAAAATGGTTGCATTTTTCTGGGGAAGTAACTCTAAGAGTCCATCCTATCACTGGCTTTCTTGGAGTAAGCTTTGTTTTCCTAAGCAAGAAGGAAGCACGGGTATTATATCCTTATGCCACTTGCAGGATGCCTATTCATTCAAGATTGGGAAAAATGGAAGCAGAAATCTTCTCTTTGGGATGTAATTCTGGATAAAAGGTATAATAGGAAGGGTAATATGAATCCCAGGCTCCCAGACTCCACAATTTGGAGGAGGATATGCTGCGCTAATGACATATGCAAGGATCTGGTTTCAGAAAACGAAGATGGCTCTATTACATGGATACCTTCTAACAATGGCCTTTTCCCAATTGCTTCAGCTTATGAAGAGATACGACCTAAGTCTAACCCTACCTTCTCCTTTTCCTATGTTTGGCATTCTCGAGAACAGCCGATTATTCAGTTATTTCTCTGGAAACTTGTGCATAATATATTGCCTTTTCCACAACAGCTATGTAGATTCTCTATTTCATACCCCTCTTGCTGCCCCTTTTGTATGACACACGAAGCTACTACAGTACTACTGAGTACTGACCATTGTCTATATTTGTGTTCTACTTCTTATGCCAAGGAAAAATGGCAATATTTTATGGGCTTACAGCTGATTCCAACTCCATCTATCCCTCATTGTTCCATTAAGCAAATGCTTATTTCATGGTGGTTGGAATCAGACAACAATAGCATTGAAGGGATTTTTAAAATCATTACACCGGGTGTCATAACTTGGTTCTTATGGAAAGCTTATGCGGGCTATACTTGGGGAGATACTTCTCCACCTGCTACGCGCATTCGGATTTCACTGATTAAATATCACCTTTACGTTTTGCCCTTTAGCATCCAAGGATCTAGACCTGCTAAATTTAGCCGGACACTCTTTGAAGCACATTTAATCCCCAATTGGAGGAGCAAACTGAAACTGTACTTTTGGGATAAACCATCAGTGGGTCTAAAGCTTAACATCCATGCATGCAACTTTCTGGTGGTGCTGTACTGAGGGACTCTACTGGAGTTTTGGTTTTAGCAATAAGTTGTGCGACTAGGGCATCAAAATCATATGTGTCTACACTCCAGTTTCTCTTTGAGGCACTTAAATGGATTACTGCTTGTGGTCATGATAACTTCATGCTTGAAATGGAATCTTTGGAAGTCTTTACTGCTCTGCAAAATATCAACCAGGTCTCAACACAGAATTTAGAAGAACACTACCTCCTTAAGAATGTCCTCTCTCTTATTCATGATCATCATATACGCATATCTCATTGTCACTTTCTCATCAACAGGCCTGTGTATTTAGTATCTCTTTACCCGACATCATCTAATTTTGTTTACCATTACAATACCTCTCAGCTACACCGAAAAATCAGAGGAGCATTAGCATTAGATTATCTTAATTACCCCCATGTCTTGTAAGTTTGGGGTAAAGCTATTTCCCCCTTGTACTCTTGTTTTCAATAAATCTTACGTAAATGTTCTCTCACATTTACTCCACTTATTTTGGTGGTTTGTCTGACGGCGTCCAAAAAAAATGAGAGAAAAAAGCTAAAAAAGGTAGAGAGGGAGTAGATAAAGTTTAAAAACATATAAAAGAAATTAAAAATTGGGATTGGCCCGAAATGACCGGCGCTGGTATGAGGGAAAAAAATGACACACCAACCCCCAAGACTGTATCGATTCGTAGCCGGACGTAGTGCATGTCTACTTATATCAATTTAATTAGATTTAGGACATGTTTGACATTTAGCGGTTAGCGGATAGTGGATAGCGGATTATTTAGCGGTTGAGAGCAGCTCTCTGCGGCGCCTTAAATAGTTAAATATCCTTTTACCTTTTGAGAATAATTTATTACTACGTACTTACTTTGTCAACTTTTCATTTTTGGTTGTTCCAAAAAAATTTGACACTTTCCTATTAAAGTAACTTATTTGTGGTTCTGCACAATTATCTCTCCTCTGTAGGACTGGGAAAAAATTCCCGACTCCCGACTCCCGATCCCGATCCCGATCCCGACAATCCCGATCCCGATAATCCCGATCCCGACAATCCCGATCCCGACTTGTCGGGAATTTTTCCCGATCCTGACTAAGCCGGGACGGGACCGGTTTTTTTTTTTTTTAAAGTCGGGATCGGGAAAATCCCGACATCCCGACAATATATATATATATATATATATATACACACACACGAATATATAAAAAATGAATATACATTTATACAAAATGAATATGTATCTAAGTATTTGCATATCTTTTTTAATTACTTATTCCTTCCATAGATTAATCTTTTACTAAGAGTATCTTACAATATCAAACTTCTAAAACTTTTTGGCATTTTTCCGATAATGAATATTCGGGATCCTAACTATATAGAGATTATTCTTGATCCCGACAATATAATTCACAACAATATTACAAATTTTGCGGTTCTGATGAACTCTTTAAAAAATCATGATCGAGACTAATATTTCTTTCTTTAGTAAATAATCATAATATGTATTTATACATTATATTCATTGGTCACAAAGTTTCTCAATGAGTTTACTTAAATTTGAATTTGAATAATATATGTATGTTACACATCCTTCTTTTAGTGACTTTTATATATTGTTTGAAGTAAGTTTCACTAAGCATTGATAGATTATTCAAAAATTATACTATTAATTAATTGAAGTTACAAATAAAAATTATTCTAAACGTATGTACTAGTGTGAATTTGAGATGATAATTATTACAATAAATTTAATAAGTAGATGATAAATATGGTATAACAATGAACAAAGGATAATCTTGAAACCACTAAATATTTAAGTTAGTGTTTAACTAAAGAAATTACATAATTTTATGTTTAATACTTCATTTTCGGGATTTAGCGGAATTCCCGATCGGGATCCCGACTTAATCGGGATTTTATTGTCGGGATCCCGACTTAATCGGGACGGGATACAGAATTCTCTTTTAGTTTGAATCGGGATCGGGACGGGATCGGGATATGGGCAATCGGGATCGGGATCATCCCGATCCCACCCCTACTCCTTTGCACAAATCTCAACAACACAATTTTTACTATTATTATTTCTCACCAATTTTACGCTTGGCAAAGTCCACCGGGACAGAGGTAGTACATAATATTATTTTATTGTAATGAATTTCAAGTGGACACCAAACATGGATCGGCCTTCGGCTCTGTTTGCAAGTGATTGTGCTTAAATAAAAACACTTTTTGAGAAAAAATGTTTAGTAGTAAAAGTTGGTAGTGTTTGATAAATAAGTGTTTTTTTCTTAAAAAAAAGCCACAATCACTTATTCTAAGTGATTGCAAACAGAGCCGAAGTGATGCTTTAGAAGCTTCCTAACTAGTTCAATATCTAATCACTACAAAGCCTTTTATTTATTTGACATTGTGACAATTTATTGAGACTAGAAACTATTATATTGGTGATTCTCTAAACCATCATCTTTGTTATGAAGCAAAATATTATTAGTTGTAAATATGACCATAAATTAAATAAAAGATTGCATCCTACAAATGGAAGAATTTAACTCTTCAAGTTAGTTTTTTTTAATCACAATAGATATCATTAATGTGTAATAGAAGTTGGAGGATTATGGGATTACTAATAACAATTAAACAAAAAGGTAGGTCAAAGAATAAGCAAGATGATCCTGCCTTCAAGCTTCAAAAGTAAAACTTGGTAATCTTCTTCAATAATAAGATGAATTTTACTACGTATAACTTATAACTCAGACTCATGATCCTGCCTTCAAACTTGAAATGAACTTATTCAGGAGGCAAGCACGGCTGAACCGGAACCTTGATTTAGCCTCCGTCGCTGCACCTGTTTCCAGTCGGACCAAGAGCTCTGCAATCTGCCCGGCAAAATTGGACAGCAAATCAGAATCATCCTCCGTTCTGGCTGAGAAAACTCCCTCTACCCACTCCACTAAACTATTCTCCCACCCCCTGTAGTTCAAAAATGTAAATTTACCGGCGGTTTAAGAACCAAAAGACAAATGAACTATCCTTTCAAAATATGCAGATAAGTGTTCCCAATTCACCATCTTATGAAACCATTTAGTATTATGTTGATATATATTCAAATCTCTAACGTTTCAGGTGCACGATTGATTGATTATACTCCGTACACAACATTCCTGTTTAATGTTTTATGCTCTGAATTGGCAGCTGATATATCTTTGAGGGTTCTAGCTAGCCAGGGACATGAAATTCCTCTGAAAATTAAATATTTCCTGCAGGATCGGAGGATCTTAGTTCTCAGTTTCTTCCATGGAAGTAAAACATTTGAGGCCAGGCCACTGCTTTACCTCAGCATAAACTTGAGGGTTATTTTGCTTTTCACGGAAGAGTAAAATTTGGTCATAAGTTTCACTCTTAGCTTGTACGTTAGACAATAGATGCTTCTCACGTTAAGATACATCATTCTATTATTGAACAAACGTTTAAATAAAAAACATACTCCACTAGCTGGCCTAAAGCACTGGCCTTTATGTATAAATAGCTCATTCTCTGAGTTATTAGTCATTAAATTCAAGAAAAGTTAGCTTATTAGTTCTTTACATCCATGAAGAGTAGTGGTACTGTAATACACATGGTTTATCACATTTGTTCTGTTTTTGTAGTTTGTTTGGTGTTGGGCGGCTTCTGTTCAACGGGCGGTAGCGTCCAGCAACAGATTAGTGATGATGGTGTGGATATTTACATTGTTCATGTAAGTCCACTCACCAACACCAATGGGTTGGAATTGTCACAAGATCATTATGCTGCTACCTATCATTACCATCAATCATTTGTGTCAGGTCTCATCAGCAGTGCCACTGCTGTTGGAGTAGAGTCATCGTCGTCTCCAATAATACTACACTCATATCGGCATGTGATTTCGGGATTTGCAGCAAAGCTGACGCCCGAGATGGTGAGTGAAATGAGCCGCAAGGAAGGGTTTATATCGGCCAGTCCCCAGAAAGTGTACCATTTGCAGACAACCCATTCTCCTGACTTCTTGGGGCTCCTCCGGCAAGACGTTGATGGGTTTTGGCAAAAGTCAAGCGGTTATGGGAAGGGTGTGATAGTCGGGCTTTTGGACACTGGGATCACCCCAAACCACCCGTCGTTTTCCGATGAAGGCATCTCACCTCCCCCTCCAAAGTGGAAGGGGACTTGTGATTCTGACGTAAAGGCATCTTGCAACAACAAACTCATAGGTGCAAGAAGTTTCATCGACGGATCTTCATCATTAGATGAAGAAGGGCATGGCACACACACCTCCGGAACGGTTGCTGGAAACTTTGTGAAGGATGCGTCCGTGTTTGGAAACGCTAATGGCACGGCTTCTGGAATGGCACCACTGGCTCACGTGGCTATGTACACGGTCTGTGACATGTTTGGATGTGTCTCTTCTGCCATATTGGCTGGAATGGATGCAGCCATAGAGGATGGCGTTGACGTCCTCTCTGTTTCCCTAGGAGGTGCCTCTCTGGCTTTTTTTGACGATGTCATCGCCATGGGTACCTTTGCTGCTATGAGGAAAGGCATTTTTGTAAGTTGTGCAGCCGGCAATTCTGGCCCCGATCAACAAACATTGTCGAATGAGGCTCCCTGGCTTCTTACAGTCGGGGCTAGCACAATCGATAGACGCATCATGGCAACACTCATTCTTGGGAACAAGGTCGAACTGGAGGGCGAATCAGTTAACCAGGCTGAGGTCTTACCTCTCATGCCTTCACTGCCTCTGGTATACCCAAAAAATGATGAAACCTTCTGTGAGTCATTGGATGGAACAGATGTGAAAGGAAAAGTGGTGGTGTGTGAGAGAGGAGGCGAGGTGAGTCGAGTTGGTAAGGGGGGAGTAGTGAAGGCTGCCGGTGGGGCCGCCATGGTTTTAGTGAATGATAAAACCAATGGTGACTCAATATTAGCTGATCCTCATGTGCTTCCAGCTACTGAGTTGAGTTACAATGATGGGTTGAAGGTCAAAGCCTATGTAAATTCCACCTCATCACCTACTGCCACTATTGCATTTAAAGGCACTGTTATAGGGGAGAAAAATGCACCAGCAGTTGCATCTTTTTCTTCCCGAGGGCCTAACCAGGCTAGCCCAGGAATTCTCAAGCCAGACATTATTGGACCCGGGGTCAACATTCTTGCTGCATGGCCCGATTCGGTAGATAATGAGATTATTAAGAAGACAATGAGTAATTCAAACCCACCAAAGTTTAACATGATTTCTGGCACCTCAATGGCATGTCCTCACCTTAGTGGCATTGCAGCCTTGCTGAAGAGCGCACACCCCACTTGGTCTCCCGCTGCCATCAAATCTGCTATCATGACTACGGCATATCAGAACAACCTCAACGGCGACAAGATCAATGACGAAATGTCAAATCCTGCTGATTTCTTCGCCACAGGTGCAGGTCATGTGAACCCGGGAAGAGCAAATGATCCCGGGCTTGTCTATGACTTGCAACCAGATGATTATATCCCTTACCTATGCGGTCTCAATTACACGGATCAACAGGTTCAAATGATTGTGCAGCAGAAAGTTAACTGTTCCAATGTTACCAGAATACCCGAGGCCCAATTAAATTACCCATCTTTCGCTATCCAACTCGGAACAAAAACTCAGTTAACATATTCGAGGACGGTTACTAACGTTGGAGATGCAAATTCCACGTATGTCGTTAATATCACTACCACCCCGGGCGTTGATGTTGAGGTAACGCCAAAAAGTCTGATCTTCCGTGAGGTGAACCAGAAACTGTCTTATAATATTACCTTCACCCGAACTTCTAATAAAGGTTTTAGTAATGGTGATAGTAAGACGGTTCAAGGGGCAATATCTTGGGTCTCTAGTAAGAACATTGTGAGAAGTCCAATTGTTGTTGCACCATTGGGATTAAGGAGTATCATCATTGATGAAAAAGTGGGGGTAGATGCAGAATGATTGATTACCCTTGACAAACTGCCTTTGCTAGATAAGTCTAGGCAAAAGTGTGTGCTTGGTTATTCTTCTGAAAGTTTCAGTCTGAAACCATTGCACGAGGTTGCGTACGCCGTAGTTGGAGATTTGCATTTGTTACCATGTATTTCACACGAGTCATGACAATAAAAGTTAAAAAATTAAAACTTAAGGGTGTTTGGCAAACGACCTATTAGTCATCTTTTTTGTTTTGTTTTGTTTTTGTTTTTATATGGTTTCTACATGGTCAAACAACTATTTCTTCTGTTATAAATAACATTTTGAAGTAATTTTTGCGTGTCAAGCAAAAAAAGAGAAAAACTACATCGACACCTTTATTTCCATTGCAACTTCACCGCAAAAGTCTGGGAGGACATAAGAAAGTGGCTGAACATCAAACGAAGCATGTCTACACTCTCTTGCTCGATGAAGTCGATTGGGAAAGAGTATGCAGGTAACCAGATGAAGAGAAAAGCTGTCCAGATTGCTCTATGCAGCTCACTCTACATCATTTATCCAGTGAGTATAATCATGCATTAGACTTTAGACTTGTACCATTGTAAACTCTTATTTATGTGCTTCAGGTTATTGAGTTTAGTTCGCCCAATATGAGGGAATGACTTCTTTTTGTTTGGTAATACCAGTATAGTAGGGCTGTTTGATGGGACTTTTAGCTAGATTGGATAACATTAGAGAGAATGCTCTCTAAATGTTTGTATGTTTCTCAGGGGTATGCCCTGGTGCACTTGTAAATCAATTTTGGGCTTTAATACATTGACATTTTAACCTTGAAAAACTATTTGAGTATCTTTTCATAGCGACTTTCTAAGTATATCAATTTTGTGACCTATTCCATAAGTATTTAAAAACAATACTCCCTCTATCCCGAAATGAAGTTCCCGGTTTGACCTACACACATTTTTATGTAAGGTAAAGTTTTGTTTTGACTTTCTAAGTATACCCTTACTTTATGTCAAATCAAGCAAAAAGTGGATAAAAATTAAGAGTAGTTGTGACTTTTGGGTTAAAAGTGATTTTCTTATATAGAAATAAGAACTTCTTTTTGGGGCTTCTATAAAAGGAAAGTGAGAAATTCTTTTCGGGATTTAGGTAGTATATGAAGTAGTAAATATAAATAAAAACAAAAATTGTGACAAGAAATAACTTCTACTTTCGAACAAATAATCAACTAAATTATAGGATCAACTTCTATTTCGGACAAAATGACAAATGATGAACTAAAATGTGATAAAATGTCTCAAATACCATCTATACAATCCATCTACATAACTCAAACCCGGTAATTTTCCAACTCTGTCTAGATATAGTGATGTAGAGGGAGAAGTAGGGATAGACCTGGCCCGGGTCGGGCCCCGGGACGGGATTGGGCGGGAGCACTAGTCCGGGACTGGGGTTTTGGGTTTCAGGCCCGGTACCGGCCCGGGTTTGTACCGGGATCGGGTCGGTCACAATTTTTTGATTAAAAAATGGCTTTCCGAATTTATTCCTACCCCCATCCCTCACCCCTCAAACCACCCAACCCCACCCACCTAACAGCCAATCAATGGGGGGGGGGGATTGGGCCCAGAACGGTCCACCATTTCAGCATCGCGGAGCCCGCCCATCTTCTTCCCGGTTCAGGCCCCCAGTCCCGGTCGGGTCGGGTCGACCCAGTCCACCCCTAGGGAGAGGGTGATCAAAAAAGTGTCGTTTGTAGTCAAAGTAAAATGTACAATTGTATTTGGACCCCTTAAGCTGAGCGAAGCTTGTTGCTCTCTCCAGGAAAAATGCATGAGAGCTATCTTTAATTCTTCTAGTTACTATTTAAAATATTTTTTAGCTAAGAAGAGGTTAACTCCCAATTAAAGTTAGGCTCTTTTATACTTTTACAGGTACCATAGCTACTACTCTTGACGAAGAGGAACACCACGAAGGTTTTACGCAGGTAAAAAGAATAAGCAAAAATACAGTCACAATCCCAAAAGAGGATACGATAGATAGACAACAATTCTACCAATTAAGTGAGATGGACCTCACACCCCATGGTCACAAGAAGTCAATGCCTAAAACCCCAAAATGAAATGGATTACTTCCTTTACCCGTTAGAGGAGAGATTTGACTCTCGCTGCAGTTCTCAAGCATTATAAAACCTCTCACCTGGATGCCAAAATATTCCAACCCTATCTACAGAAGGCCATAAATTGCACAAGTACAAAAAATATAATCTCAGCTTCAATTGGAATTCCCTCAAAGAATTCAACTGTTAATGTAATTTATTTTCCTACTTTTTATTCTCTTGTATCTTTCTTCTTTTATTAATAAAATTGGGAGGTGTCCCCCGACACCCCCCACCTCGTGTGGTTTGCTCCGGGATACAAAAAAAAGTTAAGGTTCTTTTGAATCTTTAAAACAATTTTCAGAAGTTAAAAAAAAAACAATTTTCAGAAGTCAGAAGAATCTTCAAACAATTTCCATCATTTGCAATGGAGCCAATGATTCACTATTTTTTGGCTTGAGAATATGATGGAAGAAAGCAAAACGGCTCACTAAATATGATAGTCCACTGCCTGCGCTTCTCTGTTACGAAGTAGTAGTTAGTCCATGCAATTTTGGACGCGTTTTTCACTTTGATAATCCGAAAACAGTCTCTTTGTGCTTTAATACAAGGGCAAGACTGCGTACATCCAACCCCCTTACCCTACTGTAGGTGGGAGCCTTTGCGGCATTGAAGTAATGATAATGATGATGAGAATAATCTTCAAACCCTTAAAGTCAATCTTCAAGCACTCAATTTTGGCATACCATTACTAAATATGATACCTTTTTTATCATTACTAATTATCCATGTTAAAATTGATCATATAGCCAACAATACAAGTACACGATTAATTATTAGCATGCACATCTCTGTGTATACAATTCCTGTTCTTTATGACATTGTATGGACCATCGTGAACTTAAACCTCACATGAATTGCTTATCTCGTGGGATGGATGCTTGTGTTGTGCTCTCTTACCAACTCCAAAATTATCATCTCAAAGAAATTAAAGTCTTGATTTGCATATTATTCAAAATACTTTTTCATTTAGCTTTTTTACTACAAATATAAACAAGTTCATAAATGATGGAGTATATTGTCATGAACCTCAGAGCCCCAATAAAACGGTACAAGAAAGAAGCCCAAGTAACCAAAGCCTTGCGTTGGGGTCTCACGGTAAGCCCAACTCTACGGTGGCAAGCCTATTCAATCCGGGGCTGAGCTTCGTCAACAAGGCCGAGCTGGATTATTACCTCTCTAGGATTCCCTACTGTCGTTACCAGACAAAGCCGATGTGGACATTCCATGGCATGCACATATCGGACCCGGAGTCTCTGCCTTGCTTTAGAGCAAGGCACGGTGCCCGGCCACTTTGAGCCGACCGATCAAATCTTCAACGGCCAGAGATCTCCGGGTGCGCATCTCGAAGCTTCCTCTTCCTTATCGGACGGCTCCCCTTCGGCAAGGTACTCTGCCGTGCGGCAGAGGAACCCAATCCGCACATATCCACAACTTACATAACAATCTCAACCGCTGACGTCACATGCCCAGTTCTCGAAGAGTTGACATCATCAGTGATATTACATGGCAGTTTTCCAGGGCTAACGTGTTTCCACATAAGCATGACATCAACAGTTTTCTTCCCCAAGTATTTAAAGGACACTTGTCATTCCCTCACTAGCTAGCACTTTGGGCCTATGACTCAAACCTTATACTTTTGCCTATAATAAACAGCCACCTTCCGAGACCAAAATTTGCATTGTACTATTATTCTCCAACTTCTCTCTAATATTTACTACTGCCCCAAGTTCCGTAATCCATCAATAATATTTAGATATTTAACTGTTGATCTTATATACCAAGAGAACGTTTGGTAAGATCAAATGAGCTACTTTTCATGCAAAATATGGGGATGTAAAGATTTTATGTTATTTGATTTGTTTTTAAACATATGACACTTTCATTTAAATAAATGTATTCTACCATGTAAAGCATTTATACGTTGAGTGAGAGTGGTAAAATGCTTACCATGCATTTTATAAAGTAATGCAATTACTTAACATGTAGCTTTAAAATAAATTATATGCATAACCAAATAATGTATATTAATTTTATGTGTGAAATGTTCGCTTTCCCAAATTTGATATATATGCAATCATTTTGCGTTCAAAATTTCAACGTGTGAACTACCAAACGAGCCTTAAGTATATCATCTTAACATAACTAAAGAAAATTGAAAAGTGAAATAAAGAGATGGGTACATATTGAGTCATCCAATTCGGGGGAATTGGGAAATGGATTGGCACGAAGAGTGTAGGACATGGGATAGGAATTGGGAAGTACTTCTAATACACTACAAAAAAACACGCCTTTAGTCACGGACGTTAGTCACGGATTTCGTCCGTGACTAGCCTAGTCACGGGCTAGTCACGGACTAGTCACGGATTTTTGAAAAAAAAATTAGTCACGGATTTGGCCGTGACTAAGTCCGTGACTACATAAATCCGTGACTACGAACCGTGACTAAAGTCCTCCGGTTGCCCCAACTCCATCGCCGGTAAGCCCGTTTTTATTCCGGCGACTTAGTCACGGATTTATCCGTGACTACGTCCGTGACTAAAAAAAATTAAATTTCCAGCGCTCAAAATTAATTTCTCAAAATTTAGTCACGGAAAATTCCGTGACTAGGTCCGTGACTAGGTTTTTTATATAACTGAACCACACCAATTCATTCCATGTATATATAATATAGTTCACACCAATTCATTCCATGTATATATAATACAGTATCTGTTTGAAAGATCGAAGGATGTAGTCCATCTTATGTCATTTTCCCTGTTTATGCAGATAATAAGGTATGTTATTTGAATTCTTTTTATTTAGAATTAGTTGATTCAATTTAAAATTGGTTAGCTAAGCGTAGTTTTAAACGTAGTGATGCATTAAGTTAAATTAAGTAAAATTAGTTAGCTAAACGTAGGTTTTAAATAATTAAGTTAAATTAATTAGTTAAGTTAGTGTAGCTTTTGATAATATTAGTTAAATTTAAATATACTAGTTAATTGTAATGTGTAGAAAAAAGGTTGGTAATTAATTAACGAATTGAATTAGTTAAAATTAGTTAAACGTAGGATTAATTTAAATGTAGTGTTAAATTACTTAATTTTTTAATAATATTAGTTAAATTTAAGTATTAGTTAATTCAAATGGGTGTGTGTGTGTGTGTGTATGTGTGTATATATATATATATATATGGGAAAGATCAAGTACAAAGTGTGCTTATTGTGCAAATATTTGTACGATGCACCTTGACGTTATTTGCACTGCATATTGAGGTTCAAAGTATTGCACATTATAAAGTCATAAAAATAGCAGTTGCACATTAAGGTGCAACGAGTTGCACCCTAAAAAGTTGAGTTTTATTACAAAAATGCCACCTTGCCTTTATGTCCTTTGGATCAACTCATCGGACGGTCAAGATGAGTTTGTACTTTGTAAATTAAGAAGGCTTTGTATTTGATCTCTATTCTCTCTCTCTCTCTCTCTCTCTCTCTCTCTCTCTCTCTCTCTCTCTCTCTCTCTCTCTATATATATATATATATATATATATATATATATATATATGTTTTGGTTCAAATAAGAACATGATCTTATGAGAGAAATGAGAACGAATCTGAACCGTTAGATTTGCTTCAAGTGAAATTCAATGTGCATTAGATGAAAATAATTTGTGCATTAGGTGAAATTGAAATGTGCATCACAAAGGGTACGATAGAGTGACATTATGTGCAGTTGAACTATGCATTACGTGAAATTGAAATGTGCACTAGGTGAAGCTGAAATGTGCAGAATAAAAAGTACGAATTTTGCTTATTGTGCAAATGTTTGTACGATGCACCTTGATGTTATATATATATATATATATGGGAAAGATCAAGTACAAATTCTGCTTATTGTGCAAATGTTTGTACGATGCACTTTGACGTTATTTGCATTGCATATTAAGGTTCAAAGTGTTGCATATTATAGTCATAAAATAGCAATTGCACATTAACGTTCAATGAGTTGCACCCTAGAAAAGTTAGGTTGTATTACAAAAATGCCACCTTGCCTTT